CAATGGCTTATGATCGATTTGCTGCAATCTGCCACCCTCTGACCTACCCAGTGATTATGAGCAAAAGGATCTTTGTGAAATTGATGATTTGCTCATGGGTCTTGGGCATCATGGTTGCTACTTTGCAGGCTACATGGGTATTTAGCTTCCCCTTTTGTGGTCCTAGTAAAATTAACCATATATCATGTGAAACCCCAGCAGTGCTGGAGCTTGCCTGTGCAGACACCTTCCTGTTTGAAGTCTATGCCTTCACAGGCACCATTTTGATTGTCGTGGTTCCCTTCCTGTTGATACTTTTGTCTTATACTCGAATTCTCTTTGCCATCCTGAGGATGCCATCCACTACAGGGAGGCAGAAGGCCTTTTCCACATGTACCTTTCATCTCACCTCTGTCACCCTCTTCTATGGTACAGCGTGTATGACTTATCTACAGCCCAAATTGAAGTACTCCCCAGACACCAAGAAACTGATGTCATTGGCTTACTCTCTGCTCTCCCCTCTGCTGAATCCACTTATCTACAGTCTGAGAAACAAGGAGATGAAAAGGGCCTTGGTAAAATTTTGTCAAAGAAAAATGGATTTCTGAGTTGCTGAGAAGCCATTTGGTATTTGGAAACCAACCAAAGAAGCTCCACCTTAGTTTAGTAAATCATGAGTAAAGGGTTTCCTCTCTCAATATTTTAGTCATTTGTTTTAATGCATATATTGTTTTTGTAGTATGATCTAGGGATCAAAGTATTAAAACAAAGGAAGTGAATCTAGGAAAACTGTCAGAAGGGAGCTTCTATTTTCCAGGCCAGACTGCTATACATGGGGAGTTCCAGGAGAGTCAAGTGTACAAAGTGAGACTTTGTTTAAAAAACAAGCAATCCCCAAGAAGAACAATAGCAACAAACTAAACTGAAATAGTTCCAATCAATTCTGGTATGGAAGAAGATGGATTGAATTTGCACTGCCACCTTGTGGTTCAAGAATGTAATTGATGTACTCTGTCCAGAAAATTAAGCTTGGTCATGCCTTCAACATTTATTTTTGATGAGAATATAATAGGATCAATCACACCGGTTCTAGACACAAAAAATTTTGGGAGGTGCAATATTTAGGTGCAAATTTTATGTTCTTATTAGGTGTTAGGCTTAAGACCAGAATGGCTGGCATAATCTTCATTTTGCTATCTCTTTCCCAGTATCTTGTCTTTCATCACCATTATCACCACCACCACCATTACCATTAGCATTGCTAACATCATCAGCATCGTCAGTGTCACCATACCTATTATTACCACAGCCATCACTATTATAATATTATCATAATATGCTGAATGTTCCATCGCCAAGTGATGACGCTGATTTTGAAGATTATGGAAACCTTGGGAAGTGAGACCTACCTGGAGTAAACAGATTGCTCTGTGTGTGTGTGTGTGTGTGTGTGTGTGTGTGTGTGTGTGTGTGTGTATGTGTGTGTAGGACATATGTTTCTTTCCTCTGTGCTCTTGGGCCATGATGTATGGATCTCTTCACCATACCTTTCTTATCATGGATTAAAGTACCTGACACTGAGATAAAAGAAGGAGATAACATTGAAAGGTAAATACGTATAATATCCAATAAAAAACCCACACAGATAAAGGATTTTTTTTAAAAAGGGAGTTTACTTATCTTAAATTAATTTCAAAAGTTTCTAGGAGTTGCAAATTGGCTAAGATCCTATTTTAAGCTCTCCACAGAAGAACTTAAATCTCTGTTCAGTATTCTCAAGAGAGAGGTAAACCCTAACTTCCTCAACAGTTAATTGACAGAAGAGAGGTAATCTCACAAAAAGTAGAAAAAGCTATTTCCAATCGATATATCATATAGTCTGATTAATTGTCAGTGATGCTATAAAAGTCCTTTGACAAAAGATTATAAATATAGATTTATATATCCTTAAATAAGGTCTTCATGACTCTCTGAGTGTAGAAGGAGCAACTGTTGGTGCTTCTGCCCTGATTTTACAAGAACTCTGAAAAATTGGCTTTAAAAATAAAAGAGGGGGCCAGGCGGTGGTGGCGCACGCCTTTAATCCCAGCACTTGGGAGGCAGAGACAGGCGAATTTCTGAGTTCGAGGCCAGCCTGGTCTACAGAGTGAGTTCCAGGACAGCCAGGACTACACAGAGAAACCCTGTCTTGAAAAAACAAAAAATAATTAAATAAAAAAAAAAGAGGGGGAACGGTACCCCCTCAGAAGGAGCCCCCCTGAAATACTCTCCATCATGCCTTGTTCACTTTTCTCTCTCTAAAGCTGAAAGCTCATGGCAAATCTCTTGCTGACCATGTTGGTGACCTCGGGCACCACCAAGACCAACAAAACTTTGCCACAGATATGGGGAAGGACCCTCATACCCGTAAAGGGAATGCCCCAGACCCAGTTCCCTTATGGAGCCGAGGACTGATATGCCTGTCCAATACCACAGAAGGCACAGCTAACCGGCTACCACAAATATTAATGAAAAAAATAGATACTCTCACAAAGCCAGGCCCAACCATAAATATGATGAATAATAATTTACATCCAGGGAAGAGAAATCTCCCTGAGAATCCCCTTCTTTTTTCTTTCCAGGCAAAAATGAATCACCCGTGATGCCTGCTATTAGAAGTTCTAATCCAGATGGGCCAGAAGCCAGGATCCTCGCCCTTACCCTCACCCCCTACCTTTTCCCAGCTGCACAAGGTTCCCTGAAGCTTGGGAACTGCAAGATCCTGCTTGGCAACTGCAGATAGACTCACAGCAGTGTACCATATCATCTGAAGAATAGCAAGGAGACCATAACTCAAGCAGTGTACCATATCTTCTGAAGAATAGCAGGTTGCAGTCCTCCTCGCCCCCACGAATAACTAGGGCCTGCCAGTCGGGTCAAGTGGCACCCAGACGTGGGGCTCGAGGCACGGACCCCTCTGGACGGACCCTCATTGAGAGGATGTGCGCAGGACATCAAGATTGAGCGAGACAGAGATCATCGCCCGCGACCTGTCATCCACGGAACCAGGTTGATGCTGCCATCAAGAAGACGGTTGAAGTTCATTACCATCAGCCGAAAATTGAAGAGGATCCAGAAGTGACTCTGCAGGAGACTGACACAGCTGCCAGCTCCCCTGCCTCCCCCCTACGGTTGACCGCTAGACTTCCACGCCCTCCAGAAGGGTTCCTGGTATGCCTGGCTTTGCCCCCGTTTCTCTCGATAGAGAGCTTGGCCTCTTGATCACCACAACAAAAATTGGCTTTTTCCTAAACCAAGGCCACCCTTGATATGGCCGCTAACATTGGGGAGCCTTCCTTTATGACAATATTACACCCCAAACTGACAAATGGTTGGTAAATTGAACATTTACAAGGGACTAGGATGGCTGTGAGTTAGCCCAATGACGGGATTATTGTAGGTCCACTTCCCAGGGGCCCACCCAATGCAGCCGAAAAGGAGTGCGTGGTGCTGGGAGTGGGTGCAGCCTACATGGCCTAAGACAGGGCTCTCACCCTCCTTTCACCCACATCGGAGTCCCTTGACGTTGCCCATCGTCGACAGCCTAAAACCTTCAACCATCGATGTGACTCGTCTCACATCAGTGTTTTGGGGTTGTGAACTTGTCTAAGACCCCCCCATAATTAGACATCCAAATTCAAAATTCACAT